TCTTTTCGTATACCGAAATCAATCCCCCTGCTTGTCACTCTTGTAGAACAGGGAGCTGGCAGCGGCGTCCTCGTCCGCGGCGGATATCGGCCCGACGTCGTACACGCGTTGCCTGTCCGTCAACCAAAGATGCAGCCGACCCTTTCCTCCTTGGTTTTCTTTGCCTTCAGAATACACCGGCATCGTGAGGAGCATCAGTTTTTTTCCCCCAATGGTGGCAATGACGAACCCGCTTCGCACGCCTTTCCCTGTTCGGGCGCGTGAGGTGCCCCACACGCGGGAAAGTACCACGTCCTCCTCCACCCACTCCTCTCCCCGGTAACGGGACCTCACCACCCTGTAGAAGCCCTCGTCGCAGGAGGTGACCATGTAGAGGGTCCCGTATTTCCTGTCCCACTCGGCGATGGCGGGGTTGGAGCAGCCGCTCACAGTCGTGCCCCACGAGAGCTCCCAGTCTTCTTCGGGCCTTCGCGACTGCAGGACTAGGGAGACCACCGTCCCATCTGCCTTTCGGGCCTGCACTGGGAAGGTCAATGTCCCGTCGTCCAGCACGACACCAGTTCCGCCGCTGCCCACCACCTCCACGATGGACCTGTAATAAATCGTTGTGGGGAAGTAGGGCCACAGGGAGTAGGTGTCGGCCCACTGGATTTGACGTGTCTGCGCACTGGGCGTGGCGTTGGCGTCGAAGACCACCTTTGCCAGCAGCAGGTCCGTGTAGGGGGCCACACTCCCGTTGGCGGGAACAGGGCCCGCGGCGACGTACTGTCCGAGGAGAAGGTAAACTGTGCTCCCGTTCACAATTGTCGTCGGCGGCATGAGACGCGGGGCCCCTCCACTCGCGGGCTCAGCCTCCTGCGGAAAGTACGCCGTCAGCTCATCATCCATCACTCTTCCGCCCTGCGCCGCTGACGCCCCTTCAGCCGGGATGCCCCCTGCGGCAATGCCAGCAGCAACACCCACAGCGGAAGCTCCCGCGTGCGCCCCGGCAAAGACGACGGTCTCCCCACTCACATCAACAAGTCCAGGGCCACGGAACGAACCCGTTGCGCCCTTGAAGTCCGCTTTGGGGCCCAGGCCAATGTTGACCTTCGCAAACGATTGAGGTTTGGGCACTCGATGACGCACTTCCTCCAGCGTCTCCTCAGCGCTGGCACTTTCACAGCTGCCGCCGCGTATCAACAGCACGCAGAGGAGGAGCAGCACCGCAGCATAAAACAGGTGCCGGGACATGTTGAGCCTCTGCCTCTCACTCTCCTTGCGGTTGATCCGCTCAGGCCTAAACAATTGTGTGTGTGTGAGTTGATTGCTGGTGGTGGTGGCTGCAGAGCCTTCAAAGCGCACAGCAGCGGCTGCAAGCAGCGTTTGGTCTCTTTTCCTTCGGCGTGTGCGTGGGGGGCAAAAGAGAGAAGGGCGGAGGAGAGGAAGAAGCAAGAGGGACGTTAAAAAAAGAGAGTTGGAGACGCACATAAGTTCAGCAGCGAGGCGCGCGCAGGCCCAGCCGTTCACCTGCCAGCAGCCCGCGGCGGAAGCGCGCCAGTACCCGCCGAGAAACAACAGAGCAAGAAACAATAAAACAAAAACAAAACTCAGGTCTCTCCCGCGAGCCCACACAAAGAGAGAAAGCAACAAAAGATTAAAAATGGAAAGAAAAGAAGAGTGTCTTTCGTCCCACTGGCCTTCGCCCAACGCCTCACGCGCGCGGCCAGGCGAGACCCGCACACGGCACCCCCAAGAGAGAGTGCAGCAAGAAACGGATTAACTGAGAAGAGCAAAAAAGAAAAGAGATGCACCCACCAGGTCATCCGCCGAAGCAAGACGCAAGAGAAGTGAGAAAAAAAAAATTTCCTCCGCGGAGGGGAAGTTGTTCCCGGCGCGGCGGCGTGTGCGTGCGTGTGTGTTGGCTGCGCGGGAGACGGCGCACATGCCCCGCAGTGAAGCCGCAGTCCCCTCACAGAGCCGCAAAGGCCCACAAGCCCAACAGAAACAGCGGCGGCAGCACTCGGCCCGCACTGCCGCAGCCGTCGGCGTTTTTGTCTCCAGGCTTCGCCTTTGGAGGCGCCTCGCTCGGCGCGTTGGCGGCCGAGTTCGTTCCCGCAGCCGCCTCCGTCGTGCTGCCGGGGCTCTCCGCGGCGGCGCTCGGCGGGGCTGGCGGCGCAGCGGGCTCCGGCCTCAAGAAGTGGAGCCGCAGTTCCTCGGTGCTCAGGGGGCGGTTGTACAAAAGAACATCGCCCACCGTCGCACCGGCGCTCTCCGCGCCGCCTCCGTCCCCGCCAATGAAGAAGTGGGAAACCGCTTCGGAGTCGGCCGCCTTCCAGGTCTCCTGCGAAGTAGCCTGAAGGGCCGCATCCACGTACACGGAGCCCCTTCCCTCCTGCACAACAAGCGCCACCTGGTACGCCTTACCCGTCTCCCAAGTGCCGGTGGAGGTTTGCCGCGCCCCACCCCTCTGCGCCAGAACCCAACTCCGGCGTTCGTCGCACGCCACGCTCAATGCCGCCGTGCCGCCTCCGAGGCTCACGCCCAGCAGAGGCCGAGGGCCGCTGCCGCCCGCGGGCACCGCGTGGATCGTCACCGTCGCCACAAGCGTGAAGTTGTAGTTGGCGAAGTGGTACCGCTGCACCTGCCCCTGTTTTCCCACGGGCCACTCCGCCCATGCGCCACGGCCGCTGAACTTTAGGCCGTTGGCAGTCGTCTCCACAGTGCCCGCCACTGTTGCGTCCACGCCGAGGTACTCGTCCTTCCACCGCCCCTCAGTTAGCTTGCCCGACAAGAATCCAACCAGTCCCTTTGTGGGCATAGGCGCAACGCATGCAGTGCCTGGCCCGGCACCACCGCGGGGAACAGAACCACAGGACGTTGCGACGCTCTTGTCCACCTCCTTCCAAGTGCTCAGCACTGACTTTATCTGGCGCAGCTGCTGAGCCAGCTCCGTCAGAAAGAGGACGTGCCTCCTCCCTCGGTAACCCTCGTGCAGCAAAAACAGCCTGTCTCGAGCAAACAGCAAGACGCTGGCAACCGTTTTTGCGTTGGCGTCGCATATCTGCCCCACGTCGTGTACGCGTGACCCGTCAGTCAACCACAGGTGGAGCCGATCGGGGCCAGGCCTCCCTCCCGCAGCGGAGCCCACTGGGTGGGCGGCCAGCATCACCTTCTTTCCATCAATGGTGGCGGCGGCAAATCCGCCTTGCGTGCCGTCCCCCGTGCGCTTCGGCGAGTTTCCCCACACGCGCGAGAGGGTCCCGAGCGCCTCCGTCCACGTCGCCCCCATGTCGCCGGACTCGTACACCCTGCGCACCCCATCCTCGCAGGCCGTGTTCATGAGGACTTTGCCCTCCTCCCACTCCACGACGGCAGGGTATGTGCAGCCCGCCGCCGTTGTCCCACCCGCCACCGCCCAACTCTGTCCGTCGGTGGAGCGGATGGTGGTGGAAAGGAAGTTGCCCGCCGCGTCCCGCGCCAGCACAGGGAGCACAAGTGTGTCGCCGCCCACCACAATCCCCGCGCCCCCGGCCCCAAGCAGTTGCGTCCACTGCTGCTGCTGCTTCACCGCAGCGAAGGCGGACTTCAGCGAGGCGGGCTCCTGCCACGCCACCTGTTCGCCCTCTCCTGCCTGCCCCACAGCAGCCGCCACAGTCCCCACGGCCAGCTGAATGTCCCACGTATCGCCAGCCTCAGCCAACTCGCGGCCGTTCTTCGCCACCCTCTCTGTGTTCAGAAGAAGATAGATTTTCCCGTCCTTCGCAACTGCCGTGGGACTCAACGCGAGAGAAGCATAATCGTCTGCCTTGGGCGTTTCGACGGCCAGTTGGGTGGCCCAGGGATCACGCCACGGCACGCCGTACGCTGCGGCAATATCGATGTCCGTATCCGTGTAGCCAGTGTGCTGAGCCTCGGCAAAGGCGACAAGCAGATCCCCCACACCAACGAGGGCGGGAACGCTGAACGAGTCGATGACTTTGCTCGTATTACCAGCCCCACCACTCGTCTTCCTCAGGGTCACCGCAGTCTTCCGTGAGACAAATACCTCCATCTCATGTGATGCCGGTAGATTACCCTCCTCCGTGGCATCAGCCCCACAGCTACCGCAACAAATCAACGCAACGAGCAGCAGCAGCAGCACCGCGGAGGGAAACAGACGCCGGGACATTTTCGGCCGCCGCTTTTCTCCCTCTCCTTTCCCTGCTTGCGGTGGATCCGCTCAGGCCGCGACGGTTGCGTGAGTGTTTTGTGTTGTGTGTGTGTTGATCGCTGGTGGTTGTAGCTGCAGAGCCTTCAAAGCGCACGGCGGCAGCAACAAGCAGCGTTTGGTCTCTCTTTTCCTTCTGCGTGTGTGGACGAGGGAAGAGAAGTAGCAAAAATGAAAAGTAACAAAACGGAGGCGTCTCGGCACACAGACAAAAGAGGGATTTAGGAACGGCGCTGGGGCCCACACGGCAGCGGTGAGCATCGCCCAGGACGCAAACTAAAATAAGACGGAGAAGAGAAATGACTAATCCCCGCAGGAGCCCAAAAGCAAAAATAAATTACTTCGGCGGGTGTTTTCTTTACTTCACGTGTCCAGCAGCACAAGAGGGCTGTAAGAGTGTGTGTATATTTTAGTGCCTGCACCAATAAAAACAACTACTACTACTCCGGTAGCTCACACAACCACACAAACAGACACATCGCATCACGTTTGCACCTCACGGTGGCCGCGACCTCGTGTCTCATTTGGGCGGTCCCTGCGACGCACAGCAGTGCGGCCGGCACCGCGTGTTTGTGTGTGTGTGTGTGTGTGTGTGTGTGTGCAGCAGCAAACAAGGAGGGGGAAAAGGGTGCGCCGCCCATGGGAAACTGCATGCACTGGCGAAGCAATATAAAAAGAAAAATAAAACGTCCCTCAGGGCACAGAAGAGAGAGAGAGAAGGATTGTTCCACGGGGACGACAAGCAAAATGGGCACAGAAAGCGTACGCCTCGTCCCTGCCAGGGTGTGCGTGTGTGCGGTTGCCCCTCACCACTGGCCAGCAGCGCAGGCAAGGACAGCCGTGAGCAGCAGCGACAGCAGCAGCAGAGGTGCACGCAGAGGCAGGGCGTTGGTGGCAGTGCTGTCTGCAAAATTGGCCACAGTTTTCTGAGTGGTGTTGCTGTTGGTGGCGGATTTAGGCGCCGAAGCCTGTGTGGCGCCGGCAGTGGACTGCGCGGGGTTTGTCGAGTCGCTGCCGTGCCCAGTCGTCGTTGTACGTTCTGCGCCGCCTCGCTCTTCTTCACTGCCTTCTGCTGCTTTCGCTTGCCCCGTGGCACCGCCAACGCCGCCCTCCGCCAACTCACCTCCCGCCCGTGGACGTGCACCCGGTTTGGGTGGCACGTCGCTGGTGCCCGCACTTTCAGCCGTCTGCGGTTTACTCTCAACGCCGTGTGCGGGCCGCCCATCGACAGTCCCCGGGGCCGCTGCAGTGCCAGCGGACTGAGTCGCAGACTCTGCAGGCTGCTGCACCGTGGGGCCCGCGGCGCGGCCGGGCCCAGCACCTGCTGGAACTTCTTCTGCGCCGCGCTGGTCTTCCCCCTGCGACGGCTCCGCGGCTTTGCCATCCGTGTTCGCAGCTGCACCTACACCCGCCAACTGCTGCGCACCCTGCAGCCCAGTCGCATCTTCGGGCTCGTCGTGCAGCTGTGTGCCTTTCCCACCTTCTGGCGTCCCTTTCAGTTGCGCTCCTCCGGCGTCTTCTTGAAAGCCCCCTCGAGGCGCATCCGGCCCCTCTTCAGCTGCGTCCTCGCTGGCCTCTTGTACAGTGCAAGTGTGCAACACGCCAAGTGGCTCGCCGCCAGAAACAGTAGCATGCGAGCGACCGGGTGTGCTGCTTACACTCTGCCACCGCTTGTACGCCCCACCGTTTTTCTTCGTCTTGCACCTCATGGTAAACGCAAGAGCGTTCTCTGCCGTGGCTCCAGAGCAGACGCTACCACTCGCTGAACTGGAAGAAGTGTACTGAGTTGCGGCCCAGGCGCAGAGGGATTTCTCCGCGTCGTGAATGGCCCCACTCATAGTGAAAGACTCACGCACGGTGAATGCACACTTCTGCCAGGCACCTTCGCCAGGAAAGCGCCAACTCAACTTGTTGTCACTGTCCGCGCACGAAATCTGCACCGACACATCCACCTCCTCCTCAACCGAAGAAGCAGCCACCGCCGTTGCGCAGAAGGAGCCGCAGAGCAGCGCGAGGAGCGCCAACGCGCACACCGCACGGCGCCGCACCGTCGCCATCCTCGCCGTCAGCAAAAAAAGTGATCGTGGGGTAACAGAGTCGCTGGAGTCAGTGGACTGCGGGGGAGCGGAGAAAAAGAAACAGAGAGAGAAATGGGGACCGAGGTGGAGTACGACGGAGAGAGAGCAGGAAGAAGAAAGGAGAGGGAAAAGGCAAGGCGGCAGCGCCCTGCAGCCGCACGAGGAGGAATTTGTTCCGCCCCGCCCACGCAGACGTCTTTGGTAGTGCCAGGGCTTTTGAGGAGAG